GTGACCTTTTCCACCCACAATTCAGATTTGAGACAGATTCCCCCCCACCCTTTGTTCGCCTAACAGTAAGTAGGAACCCGGTTGTTAGTCGATTGGCAGATTGCTTTTCCGGGGGCAATAATCCCTTGAAAAAACGTTTGAAATAATAATTTGGTCACTCAATCCACGACTGTTTGTGGGACGCTGCTGAGTGCAATTGGCTGCCGCATTTCGCCCACAAAATATACAGTCAATTCACTTTACAGTATATTCTGCGAAGCGCTTTGAGATGACTTGAAGACGTGATAAGGCGCTGTATCAAATGCAAGGATTATTATTATGGTTCTTAAAGCCAGTCACAAACTTCTAATTTTAGTCTTGAAGTTACAGTGTGCTTGATGCCAAGGCCAGAGCTCAGCTGAGGACAGGGGAGATATTAAGCTCTGTACACAAAACCCTTAGGAAGTGGACAAGAGGTATAATTGATTACTACTGCAGTTCACCACACAGCTAAGGCAACTGAGAACCACTCATTCTCTCTGTGCTATGCATTTCCTCTGAGGAGAAGATAAAATGTGGGGAATGTTTAGAGGGACGTTTCCAGCACTCCTCACGAGCAGATATATGTCTGGCACCAAATATAATAATAATAATAATCCTTGCATTTGATATAGCGCTTTTCACGTCAGGAGGACGTCCCAAAGCGCTTCACAGAACACACTGTAAAGTGAATTGACTGTATATTTGTGGGCGAACGCGGCAGCCAATTGCGCACAGCAATGTCCCACAAACAGTCGTAGATCGAAAATGACCAATTTATTATTGTTTTTGTTTTGGAGGGACTATTATTAGGCTCTGTGTGGAGTAAGGAAACTTGCCCAAGGTTTCGCCCTCTGCCTGGAATTGAACTCAAGTCTCTCACTTGCAAAGCGAGTGCTCTAACCACTGAGCTACAGGACTCCACAAATATATATATATATGGCGCTCATGAATCTTGTAAAAAGCAAATCGCAGAGTTAGTGCTGCAAAATGTTTGTTTTCCACAACCTGATCTGTACCTGTTCAATCTTTGCAGACTCGCTAGCCTGAAGAGTGTAAGTTTTATCGGGCTATGGCGAAGAGACGTTACTGCCAGTTTGAAAAAATAGTATTTTTTTTTATTTAAAAAAAGAAACTCTTCATTTATGCTATAACTTTCATTTTCTTCTTTTATTACTCCCCCGCCCCCCCCCCCCCCCACCTTTGCTCCTGTCCCACATCCATCCTTTGCCAAGGGTATAGACTATTTATTGTCTTTGATAATTCAGCTCTTGGAAGTACCCAACATGAGGACCTGGGTATGAGTGCCCTCTCTGCTCTTGCTCCACCTCTGTCCTTATGGATGGAAAGAGAGCTCTGGGACACTACCCTGAGTGAGGGGCTCTTTATCATAGAATCGTACAGCACAAAAAGAGGCCATTCTGCCCATCGAGTTTGTGCCGGCTCTTTGATTAGAACAATTAATGTCATTCCCACTCCCCAGCCCTTTCTCCATAACCCTGCAAACCCGTCCTCCTGAAATACCCGTCCAACCGCGTTTTTAAAAGTAGTTATTGAATCGGCCTCCACCTCCCTTTCAGGCAATGCGTTCCAGATTCGAACAACTCGCTGTGTGAAAAAATGCGAGTTGTTGTTGTTATAACCTCCATTGCAGGATGCAAACCTAAACCTTGCTTGTTCATGCCAACACGTCGCCCTAGAATCATTGTCCATTGGAAACTGCAGCCACATTACATCAGTCGGCATCCTACCCCAGCAGAGTGGAAACAAGTGGATCTGGCACACATTAAGGGAGAAGATCAGCGGCAAATGTTGCCTCCCGCGGCATTCGCTGGTAGTTTTGCGAGCGTTTCCTGTCTGTCTGTTGCAGGAATTGAGCCCTGTCTGATTTGCTCCTACAGTAAAACCCTCCCTTTCAACGAAGCTGGAGCTTCACACCTCAGTAATTACTTTTTCTGAGAGATGAATTTTAAATGGACCGTGCTTCCATTTCTTGGGAGGGAGCAGTTAGTTTGTCCTTTCACAGACTTGGAAGTTACCCATATCTGTGCTGAGACTAATGCTTGCGAGTTTTCTGCTGAATGCTGTTGATCTAAAGAGCACGCACAGACAGACAGTCTGCTTTATAGAGCAGTTAACGTGTACTCAGAAGCTATGGGGCATAATTCACGTTTAGCTAGTGAAAGAGGGATACCCAGTGGATGCAACTTGCTTGGATTTTACAAACAATATTTGTTACAGGTCTCATATGCGATGCTTAAAAGAACAAATCATTGGCAGCTTAGGTAGCTGTACTGTAAACTTGTGTTTCCAATAGGAGAATGGAGCTAATAAATTAACTTTACAGTATATTCTGTGAAGCGTTTTAGAGGAGTCTTGAAACATGATAAGGCGCTATATCTAACCCGGGATTATTATTATTATTACTCATATTATGAGTTCTAATTTCAATGTCTTTCTCCACGCAGTGTTTGGTAAATGGTTTGGAGTAAACCCACTTCATGCAACAGCTACTGATGATACCAACCAGGCTATGTACATGGGCAGGTGAATAACATAGCGAGGAAAGATAACATTCGAAATAAGTCATTCTGACCTTGTGTAGGTGACTGGTGAGGCCACAGTAGGAAGGAATAATGTGTGCAGTTTGGCCACTCTGTCTTGTCTGCAAAGGCCTCGAGAGGTTTTGGAGTAATGTATGTCTCTCTAGGCATAAAGTTGGTACTTTACAAGAAGTCTGAGTTGCAGGCAAAAGTGTAGAAGCCACAGAAAATCCAATTGAATTAATAATCTACATTGTGTTTGTGCAATTTAATGCAGTCGATAAGTGTGCAAGCAGTGATAGGTTAAGACTTTGTTTCCTTCGATTCAATGAGTTTCATCCACAAATATACAGTCAATTCACTTTATTCTGTGAAGCGCTTTGAGACGTCTAGAAGATGTGAAAAGCGCTATATCAAATGCAAGGATTATTATTATCACCTTGTGCGCATTTAACCAGCAAACGTTGCAATTGCATTGAATCACGGGAAATTAAATTCTTCTGCACATGCGTCAATGACTGAAGACTGTTTTTCTCCCAATTCATTGCAGACTGTGTGTGTGTGTGTGTAACTGTGCATAGGTTGACAGATCAGGACATCATTTCATCACACGTTGCAATGATACAACGTACGATGAAAATAAAAGTAAACGTGTTTGCAAAAGAGTGGGGTGGGGTTGGGGGACCTGATACAGGAGTCATCTTATTGTAGAGTAGCGATGTAAAGGATTTGAGTATTTTTTTGTTTAAAAAAAAGGTAAATGTATTCATTTGTAATCCTTGCATTTGATATTAGTGCCTTATCACGTCTTCAATACGCCTCAAAGCGCTTCACAGAACATACTGTGAAGTGAATTGACTGTGTATTTTTGTGGGCGAAACTCTTTTACAAACCCTATTTTTCATTGTACGTTGCAACCCCTTATTCTTTTTTTAACGGGGACAGGAGTTGGTGGGTCACACGCTCTGTTGATTGCAATGGAGTAGAGTTCATGATCATCAGTAGGAAGGGTTTTGGGGCGGTGGGGAAGAGCAAGGGTTAACGATTTCTGCTCTCTTGCCAACAAGTTTAAAGACCAATCTAAAGACTGTTTCATTTCCCCCTGATGTGGTCAGTGTTTAAGGATTAGAAGTTGCAATGCCAAAATTGCAGCATCATGCTTTCCCAACGTTTTAATTAACTCCTCTTAACTGGTCATGATATAATAATAATAAAAAGAATCCTTGCATTTGATATAACACTTTTCACGTCTTCTAGACGTCCCAAAGCGCTTCAAAGAATATACTGTAAAGTGAATTGACTGTATGTTTTGTGGGCCAAACGCGGCAGCCGATTGTGCACAGCAGCGTCCCACAAACAGTCGTGGATTGAGTGACCAAATTATTATTATTATTTTGAAGGGATTATTGCCTCCAGAAAGTCCGACAGTCGACTAAATAACCGGGTTCCTACTTACGGCTAGGTAAACAGAGGAGTGTGGAGTAAGGAAACTTGCCTAAGGTCTCGCCCTTACGGGAATCGAACCCGGGTCCTCTCGCCTGCTGTATCTCGAGTGCTGTATCCACTAAGCTACAGGTCTGGGTTCTGGTTGTGTGTATTCGCGACCTTCCTGCTCTGTTGCTGGGAATGGCACAGGAGGGAGAGATCCTAGTGCAAAATTAGGAACCTCTGCCTATTTATGCAATGTACATTGTTCATGGAAATTAAACATACTTTCATCTGGTTATTATTAAAAAAAAGGCAGGCAGGAAATAAAAAAACAGGTACTGGTGGGGGGCGAGGAGCTGAAGGAGGGTAGAGAAGACATTTCATTTATTTTACTGGGCTTTGTTCCCAAATGTGTGACGAGCTTTTAATCTGATTTTGTTTTTGGAAAACTGCACTCTTGCCTCCCAGAGACAGCAGCGGCAAAGTTAACCACTACCCTCTCTCTCTCTTTCTCTCCCCCCCCACAACCCCCCACCACCCAGCCCCATCCCCACACATCCGTTCCCCTCCCAACCCCCACACCTCTGCTCATTCTGCTGTCGCATGCAATTTGGGTTAGATCCGGCCTTTGTTTGTGGTGCGTTTTCCAGAACGACGGCATGTTTAGTGTTCAGGGATGGCACCAACGTGCTGCCCTGCCCCTGGTGAAGTCTCTGGGACCCGGTGACGACAACACTGTCGTCGATTCCATGGGTTTTTCCTTCGCTGAGAACCCTGACCATCGCCGGGAGCGAGCTGTTTCGAACGCTGACCTCCACTGGCCTTCGATGTCCTGACCTGCAATGCGTCCGCAGCTTTTAACGTCGGTGTGGTGTCGGGTGGAGAAAGAACAACACTTCTGCCGTGCGGTGTTCAAGCGCGTTGAGATGCCGTGCGGCATGAAAGGAGCTACATAAACTCAAGTTGTTTTTGTTGTTAATCTGTCTGCCCTCCTCTCTCTCTCACTTGTAGCTCTGCCTCCGAAACCGCCTAAGCCCATGACGCCAGTCAATGTCAATGGAATCAAAGACAGTGCAAGCATAACCCTGCAAGATGCAGAGTGGTATTGGGGAGACATTTCCAGGTAGGTGTGGGCGCTACTAATGGCTGTTCGGACATAGCTCTATTATTTTGGTAAATAAGTGTGTGGTTTTAAAGCCAGCTGCTACCCCGCTGCTAAATGTAACTTTTTTTGGGGGGGAAAAAAATCCTACTGTTCTCTGTGTTCGTTGTGCAAGGCAAAGGCAAGATCGAGTCGATCAACCAGCGCAGCTTAAAAATCCTTTTCTTTTCACTCCCGACTATATTCCTGATCAAGCAACAACTTGCTAATTCAGTGGTGGCCCAAAAGACCAAGCTAATTGATGGATAAAGGTCCCCATCGACACAACATAGCATTTGTACAGCCCCTCGCTTGCATTCGGGTCAGGAAGACGTCCCAAGGCGCTGACATGGAAAAGATAAGGGGCGGCACAGGGGGTGAAGAGAAGAGAGGATGTTATGTAACTGCGGCAGAGCAGGCATTCAATGCAGTCGGGGGGCAGCCTTGTTGCAAATTAACACTGCATGAAGAAAGGCAGTCAGACAGAAAGGTATTCAAAGGCCTGTACAGCCTTGTGGTAATCCATCTGATCATGGTTTAGCAGGAATAGCCGCGCTGGGATACACTGTACATTCTCAGCAAGTGGATAGTTATTTGTTAGGTCAGAGTATTAAGGGATTCAGGGCAAAGCCGGGTAATTGGAGTTGAGGTACAGATCAGCCATGATCTTAAAGAACGGAGGAACAGGCTCGAGCGGCTGAATGGCCTACTCCTGTTTCTAAGTGGATTGTATGTGCTGGGTCACCTTCAGTTTAATCCCTGCCATTTTTTTCCTCTCTCTCTCTCTCTCTGTGTGCAGGGAAGAAGTGAACGACAAGTTGCGTGACATGCCAGACGGTACGTTCCTGGTGAGAGACGCCTCGACCAAGATGCAGGGGGATTACACGCTGACCCTCAGGTAACAGACACCAAACGGGGTCCCAGAGCATCTCAGCATCTCAACAAGAAACTGGAGGAGGCCATTCAGCCCCTGGACCATGTTCCACCGTTTTATAAGATTGTGGCTGAGCTGTACCTCAACTCCAATTACCCGCCTTTGCCCCATATCCCTTGACACCCTGACCTAACAAATCTCTATCCACCTCAGTCTTGAAAATGTGAATGGATCCAGCCATAATCTACAGCCTTTTGGGGGAGAGAGTTCCAGATTTCCATTACTCTTTGGGTGATATGATTGGAGTTGAGGTACAGGTCAGCAATGATCTAATACAATGGTGGCACAGGTTTGAGGGCTTGAATGACCTACTCCTGTTCCTTTATGTTGCTCTGATATTGGGGTGGAGATCAACCCGTTTGTATTTGGAATTTAAGGCACATTGTCAGGGTAGAGCAGAATGCTGCTTACCTGAGCTTGGAGTGGGAGACAAAAAGCGATTTCTCTCATTCATCCTTCTAGATGCAGACATTGCCTTTGTTGTTTTTGTCGGCTATACATTTTGAGTGAGGTAATGGGGTAGGAAGAATTATTTAAAAACCCGATCTCCCACAGGAGCATAGGAAGCTCACAAGACTAATAGAGGCCTTGTTTATTTTTGCTTCACTCAGCTCTCCCTTTGATCCACACAGCTGTACTATGGTACCATGTGTGAAAGAACAAGATGATCTCTTTCTTTCTCTCTCTTTCTCCTGCCCTCCCCCCTCCTAATGCTATGGTCACTCCATCCCTACCTACTTCACCAAAGTCCAAATCAAATGACTCACTCTGTATTGAGGTCTGTTGCCATCACCAGAGCTACTCCAGTCAGTGTTTGTATCTCAGGAACACTCAGCAGGTCAGGCAGCATCTATGGAGAGAGCAAAGTGAGTTCACGTTTCAGGGCGAAGACCTTTCGTTTTCATCTCAGATTTCCAGCATCTGCAGTATTTTGCCTTTGTGTTTGTATCTTTATGCATTACCGAAAAAGGAATGTTTTGGCCTTGCCATCCCAACTCCTACCTGCCTCATTTTGTTCTGAGTCCCCAAATCTCCACATGCATGGACAGACGACCCTACACGAATGACCCCTTTGTGGTGACCCTTTCTCCGTGTTTGTGTTTTACAGGAAAGGCGGCAATAACAAGCTGATCAAAATCTACCACCGGGATGGAAAGTACGGCTTCTCAGACCCTCTCACTTTTAATTCAGTGGTGGAGCTCATTAACCATTATCGACACGAGTCCTTGGCCCAGTATAACCCAAAGCTTGATGTTAAATTAATGTATCCGGTCTCCAAGTTCCAACAGGTGAGTTGAGCCTCTTTATGTTTCCTGTGTTAATAGAGCTTTTCGAAGGGAAATTGGGTTGGCTCCAGTTGGGGAGCAAACACAATGGGTTAAAGGGCAGTAAACGTGCTATGAGTTTGTTCTGCTATGTATCCCTCCTCAAAATATCCTCCTTGGATGCTGCATTCACAACGGGAGGTCACAATAGCACGGATTATTCTATTCTAACAGTATTCTGCCATTCACCAAGTTACACTCTGAGCATACGTGGAGCCAGAAGGCATGAGGGTGACAGTTCAGACCAATGGAGCACCAATCTGGTGACTAGTTCTGACTGCTATTTAGCTTGAGTCCTGGATTTTCTTTCAGGTGTTTTTCACTGTAAAAACAGACTTTGATCTGCATTAGTTTGATCCGATGTGTCCTGTTCCCGTTGAACATTGCGCTACAATGCTTGGCTTACGAGGCCAATACAGGTACTTCTACTCTGTAATAATAAGTTAGATAAAATCGGAAAGATTACAGCAATAGATACATCAGATTCACGTAGAGATAGCAACGGCTCCAGTTTTTATTAATTATTCACTGCCCGCCTGGGTGGAACCGAAATAGCTTTGCCAACAGCCACAAAGTACGGACGCTTGACCATTCTTCGTAAACTTTGTCACGTAGGATCAAGTGGTGAAAGAAGACAATATCGATGCTGTTGGCAAGAAGCTGCAGGAATACCATAATCAATATCAGGAGAAGAGTAAAGAATACGACCGGCTTTATGAAGAATACACAAGGACTTTGCAGGTAAAGCCAAGATGCTTTTTTTTAACTGATGGCTTCTGCTACGTGATACAATGATATTCACAGTTCCCCCCACCCTCCCCGTCTCCGTAATATTCCTTGCATCAGGGTTCACAACGTCTTTCACAAAAGAGTAATTGCACCTGTTAGAATATAATCATTACCTGTGCATTTGATGTAGCTCCTTATCACGGTGCGAGACTTTTCAAAGAGCCTCACCGAATGCGCTGTAAAGCGCTGTGACTCTGTGTATTTTGTGGGCGAAACGTGGCAGCCAATTTGCACACAGTGGTAGTGCAGCAATTGATCATCACCAATGCAAGGATCATTCTTGTTGTCAGATTGTGCAGGTTATACAGTAATATACTTTTTAACGTAAAGCAGGGTGAACACAACATGGTATGTGTCATATAATAATAATCCTTGCAATTGATACAGCGCATTATCACGTCATTGAGACGTCTCAAAGCGCTTCACAATATATTGTAAAGTGAATTGACTGTATATTTTGTGGGCGAAAAACTATAGTGTACACAGTGTTACTGTATACACTGTAGAGTGTCCAAAAACCTGTGTCTTATCTGACTGTCTGCTCAGCCACCCGTTTAAACTGAACTTTTGTTCTTTCTCTTTCTCCTGCAGGAAATCCAAATGAAACGAACTGCAATCGAGGCTTTTAATGAAACGATAAAAATATTCGAAGAGCAGTGTCACACCCAAGAACGTTACAGCAAAGAGTACATCGAGCGGTTCCGTAGGGAAGGAAATGAAAAGGAAATCGAACGGTAAGATGGGAAAGCTGCGAATGAACATTGGGTCGGGATTATACAAAATTATTGTATTGAAGAAGCAACAAGAAAAAACTATTTATGGTTAAGACCAAATGTAATAACTTGACAAATTCAGGGCACAGAACTGCTGCGTAAATAGGGTAAATCTAGACTCGGGTGCAATCTCTCTTCGAGGGGGAAAATTAAGTTCACGTGGCTTTGTTGAGTTTTTAATTAGGAAGCTGATTTTTCTGCAGTTGTTGTCGAAGACCGGTTCAGAGTTCAAGACCAAATTCTACAATTCCGCGCCACCTTAAATATTCTCAGGACGCCTTAGCCTGTAAGACTACTTTGGCTTCCAATTTTAAGGTGGTGCAGAATGGCCGCAGATTCTTTCATTCAGCCTGAATTTAAGAGCCCAATTCTTAAGAACAAATTGAAAAAAATCTTCCACTAAATTCAACGGAATTATTCCTTTTTCTACCGCTAACTTAACGCTAGTGTTACAGGCTAAGAGCGGGTGGAATTTCGGGCCTCCCGATGCCCATTCTTTAGCAGTAATTGTAACACGCCTCCTCTTGCATGCCAGGATAATGATGAACTACGAGAAGCTCAAGTCTCGTCTCGGGGAGATCCACGACAGTAAGATTCGCCTGGAGCAGGACCTGAAGAAACAAGCGGCTGACAACCGGGAGATTGACAAGAAGATGAACAGCATCAAGCCTGACCTCATTCAGCTGCGGAAGATCAGGGATCAGTACCTTGTGTAAGTGGGAAGCGCGAGACAAACGATACGGTTTATTTAGGACCTACCTTCCTAAAGGGGTGAGCGTCGGTGAATAATAATAATAATAATAATAATCTTTGCATTTGATGTAGCGCCTTATTGCATCTTCGAGACATCTCAAAGCACATCGCAGAATATACTGTAAAGTGAATTGACTGCGTATTGTGTGGGTTGAATGTTAGCGGAGTGCTGGCAGTGATTGAAACATTTATGTTTTTCTCTTTACCTCCCTCTCTCTTTCTTATCCTTCTCTCCCCCCTCCACCCCCAACCTCACCCCCGCCCCTGCAGGTGGCTCAATCACAAAGGAGTGCGCCAAAAACGAATAAACGACTGGCTCGGAATCAAAAATGAGAACACAGATGAGTGAGTAGATTTTGTCCTCTTGCAGTGTGTTTTCCTTACACCTTAACTGGGAGGAGGATTAACGGGAAAAGCGCTGAACACCGACATAGCGAGGAGGGAAGGAGAGAGAGTGAGAGGGGACTTAAGTCAGTGAAAGAAACGGAGGTGAATGCGCAGTGAAGTTCGAGCTTTGCACGGGCGGAGGGGAGGGGGGAAGCAATGAAACAATGCACGGAGGGGGGAAAGCTGTGATGGAGATGCTGATCGACTTGAGGCACAAAGGATAAGCTATATAAGGGAGTAACTTCATAGCCCCCATGTTGCAACCTCGACTAATGTAATTGTCATGTTAATCCTGAAGGCGATGGGGTAAAAGGCAGTGTTGGACACTGGCTGCCTTACTTACTGCCAGGGGACAGTGTGCTGTGCACTCTTAACTCCTGTCTGTGAATGGTTTTGCCCTCAGCACCTATTTCATGACTGAAGAAGACGAAAACCTTCCTCACTACGATGAGAAGACCTGGTTTGTGGGAGCCATCAACAGGACACAGGCTGAAGATTTGCTCCGAGGGAAATCGGATGGCGCCTTCCTCATTCGAGAGAGCAGTAAAAAGGGCTGCTATGCCTGTTCTGTGGTGTAAGTACCTGCCACTGTTTACTACGTTTATGTCTGTAAGTCCAGGCAGGTGTGAAGGCAAACCTTGATCCAGATTTTTACATGTCAGGCTGGCTGAGTCGGTAGCTCTATTGCCTTTTGAGTCAGAAGACTGGGTTCAAGCCCCAGGTCGGGACTTCAAGCCCACACAATCTGGGCTGACACTCCCCATGCAGGGCTGGATATTTTGCTGCATCGCCAGAGGTAAGCGAGAGACCTGGGTTGATTCCCGGCAGGTCAGGGTGAAACCTTGGGACAAGCTTCCTCGGTCCACACGCCTGATAATAATCCCTCAAGAAAAAAACTCAATAATAAATTGGTCACTTCAATCCACGGCTGTTTGTGGGACGCTGCTGTGCGCAATCGGCTGCCGCGTTTCGCCCACAAATATACCGTCAATTCACTTTACCGTATATTCCGTGAAGCGCTTTGAGACATCTGAGACACTCTCAGTGCTTTGAGACACTGAGCTACAGGACTCCATGTGGAGTCCTCGCTTTGCAAGTGAGAGACCTGAGTTCAATTCCAGGCAGGTCAGGGCGAAACCTTGGGCAAGTTTCCTTACTCCACACAGAGCCTAATAATAATCCCTCCAAAAAAAAAACAATAATAAATTGGTCATTTTCAATCTACGACTGTTTGCGGGACATTGCTGTGCGCAATTGGCTGCCGCGTTCGCCCACAAATATACAGTCAATTCACTTTACAGTGTGTTCTGTGAAGTGCTTTGGGACGTCCTCCTGACGTGAAAAGCGCTATATCAAATGCAAGGATTATTATCTCGAAGACGTGATAAGGCGCTATATCGAATGCAAGGATTATTATTATTTTGTTTTGATAGATACCATCCTTTGGATAAGACGTTAAACCGTATCCAGTTTCCCGTTTGGAGAAGGAGGGATGGGGGTAGAAGGAGGGAGAGGGGCAAAAGGAGGGAGGGAGAGGGGGAGAAGGAGGGAAGTCGAGGGAAACGCATTGAGGACTCTTTGTCTCTGAGGCCTGGCATATAACCAGGGCTCTGTGGGACAGACCGAACACTTCGATATGATTGTGTTGGAAAAGAATGGCTTCTCTGCTCCACTCACAATAAACTACAGTAAAAATCCAAATTCTCACCGCCTCAAAGGATTAAAGCGATATCTTTCTTCTGGGAAGAGAGACCTTGATGGCGCTTTGACCAGCTGCACAAGGCTCAACTTCCATTGCTAATCGCCAACACAACAAATGGTGCGTGCGTTTTTATTGTGTGTGTGTGTGTGCGTGTGGGGAGGGAGGCGGAGGGGAGAGAAATCGAGCATCTCTGTGAATGGCGGGCCGACTGTTGATGGGAGATAAATGACTGGATTTAAATGATTCCCTCAAACAATTCCCTCGCGCAACGTAGCGGTATCACAACCAAAGCAATGGGTCTGGCCCCGCAAAATAATACGAAGCGTGACGTGGAGATCGCTCTAATCCCGAGGTTTGGAAAGTTAAATGGATTCGCGGACGTCAATAATTTGGGGGTCAGGAAGCACCAATTGTGTACAACAATCGGCGCGACTATAGGAAGCGTCCCCGAGAGTCTGAGGAGCTGGAAAGGGAAGCGGTACCTTGTGTGGTGGGGCGGGGGGGTGGCTGTGTGAGTAGACCCATAGGAAGTGATACTGTCACGCTGTATAAAGCATTAGCGAGACGACATGTGGAGCGTTCTGTCTGGTGGTGGTGGTCACCGACAACAAAGGTGATTCCTTTTTGGGGGGGTTTTGTTTTGTTTGTTGATCGCTCGGCTGTGAAAAGACACTAAGAAAGCTTAATCTATTCTCATTGAAGACGAGATGAAAGGTGGTGGGATATGATCCGAGGTTTGGAAAATACTGGAGGAATTCAATAAGGTGACGGTGCAGAGCCATTCGGTATAGAATCTGGATGGGAACACGTCAAGGATCTCACAGGTCACACGCAGCCTGAGTTAAATTGAGCGTCTTCACGCTCCTGACAGTAGGATACGTTTGCAGTTAATTCCCACCCATTCAGACCATTCAAAAGAGAGTTGGATCAATTTCTGATTCAGCGGGGAACATAGGGAAAGGAATAGACCGTTGGGTTCAATGAGGCTGCTTTACCATGTATTATTTCAGGGCCAGCTATTTATCTTTTTAATCCTATCTCCTGACATTCTCTACAACGCTTAATGTGCTTACTTCTCAAATATCTACCTCCCTCCCTCCCCTCCCTCGCTTTTAGGGATCAGAGAGAGAAATCTTTTGGTAGAAAGCAGACCACATAATGGTCTGATTACGAATTTGATGAGGTTCAGAAGTGCTTTTTTCTCCTCTCCGCATTGTAAACACTTCAAAGCAAAGCATAAAACAACACGATTTTAACGCAGAAAACAGGAGGCAGCATGTTTACCTTTGAAAGTATTTCCTCCCGTAATTGCTATCCTCCTCAGACCCCCGAGGCATTGTTTTCCTTCCCGATTCCCTTTCACACCTTCACGGTTCTTCAGCTGCAGGTTGGGAAGCGGGAAGAGGAGAACTAAAGTAGACAAAAGAGTAAATACTATTAAAGTATCACGAAGGAACTTGCTCCAATATTGATTACAAGATGGTACGTTTAACTGATAAAAGTACTGAACCTTTCTTTGGTGTCTTGTACTGATAAGCTGTTTGCTTTAAATGAGATGTTAAACCGAGGTCCCGTCTGCCTGTTTGGTGGACGTTAAAGATCCCGTGGCGCTAGTCGAAAAGAGAAAGGAGCTTCTCTCTCCTGATCCCTCAAACAAAACTACACTATTCATCTTATGGCAGTTTGTGGGACATTGCTATGTCACAGACTGGCTGCCATGTATACCAACCCTACTGTTCCACTTTACAATACATCCTGTGAAGCCCTTTGTGACGTCCTCCCAATGCTAGGTCAAATGAAGGAATTATTATATTTTTTTTACTTATACAAACGATTTGAGGTAAAGGCCTCCCAGTGTTTGTATCTTGGACCGACCGGTTGTCTCAGCAACGTGACTTTTCGTGGGGGTTCACTCTCTGCCTAACGGGTTCTTGCGTGTCTTATGTTTGCAGAGCCGACGGAGAAATCAAGCACTGCGTGATTTACAGCACACCGAGAGGTTATGGATTCGCCGAACCGTATAACTTGTACAGCACTCTGAAAGACCTGGTGCTACACTACCAGCAAACATCACTGGTCCAGCACAATGACTCTCTGAATGTCAGACTGGCTTACCCCGTGTACAGCCAGATGCCCTCTCTGCGCAGATGAATGTTCGGAGTCGGGCGGTGACAGATTACAGAACACTTGAGGGCATTGTACTTGGCTGCTTTTTGCACAGTGAGTACAGAATGTGAATCAGGACAGTGGTGTGCTCGGAAGAGAGTTCAGGTGACCATGGTGCTACCTAAACTGCCAGCTGTGACTGTCTTGTTCCTTTTTGCTTTTAAGTCGGAGAGAGACACACACGCACTCACACACACACTCACACACAAAAATAAACTGGAAACGCACCTAGAATTGCGGGAGAGGAGAGGAGAGGAGGTGGGGAAACGGATTTGTTTCAACGTCAACGGGCGTGGAGCTGATACTTCGATCCGAACCAGTGTGTTGCTGACGACCGGATGTTCACGCTGAGCGAGTTTTGCACCCCTCCAAACTTTCAGACATGCTTTTTTTTTGTGTGGTGGAGAGAGAGAGAGAAAAAAAAGATTTGGAAAGAGCCAGCCGGCAAGAGCTCTCGTTAAGTCTTAACTTCAGATCTCTACGAACTCCGTCTCTCTCTCTCTCTCTCTCTCTCGCCACTGTCAGGCAAGAGCAAGTGTCCGTCATATGGTGAAAGAACACCTGTCCTCATCTTGTTCTTAGCTTAGTCACCATATGTCTCGTGGGACTGATTACTCCGCCTGATTACCCCCGATTTTACTTTCACTTGCTCAGGACGTTTTACCGAAACCAGAGTTGGAAGAAGACTGAAAGCATTCGAGGAAGCTTCTGATGGGGGTGGGTGTGGGGTGGGGGGGGGAGGGGTGGGGTGGGGTGGGGTGGGGGCGTGTGGGGGGAGGGCAGGGGTGGGGGGAAAAGAACAAAAAAAAACAAAATCCCACGTACACACAAAAAAAAGTTTTCACAAAAAAACTTGGCAAAAAAAAAAGTTATTTTAAAAACAATCGTACGATGGGAGTCTCTGTTTTAATGTACTGATGGAGTACACGTTTAAAGATACATACAAGATTCAAATAAAAGAGAATGCTTTACAGCTTCCGTGAGTCTAAAAGCTCTTCACGCACATTCGGTGGGTGGGGAGGGGAGAAGTGGGGCGGAGGGGGGTTGCGGAAATGTTTTTTTACCCAAAAGTTTTAAGACCTGGTCATCCTTTGATGTTGGTTTTAGCATTTAATATTATTCAGTCAGATGTCTACAGCTGTGCATTTATATTAACACCAATTTTTTTTTAAAAAACAAAATCTCTTTCGTGTGGTGTTTCGAAAGCGCAAAATGCAGAAATTTTTTTTTCTATGAGTATAGGAATATAGAAAAAGACAAGTGAATTTTTTTTTCGAAAATGTTATCCGGTCGTACATAAGATAAGCTTTAAAGGGTGAGGAGGCAGATGTTTCGAAGGTACTCAAGAGTTGGGGGAAGGGAGGGACAGGCGTTGTGGAAATTTGGGGAATTCGAATGCGTTTTCAAAAGGTTCTTGTGTTTTTTTAAAAATCTTATTCTGTTCCCCCTCCATTCATGAATAAGGAGAGTCCAACGTGCAATGCTTCTAGATGTGTGTGTGTGCGGGGTTGTGGGGGGGGGGTGCAGATAGACAACAACTAGCAGGAGAGCGTGAGGTTATGTGTATAAGGAGTGTGTATGTGGCATGAAATTCCCTTTGTGTTAAAAATGATCAGCCAATTTCGTCTGCCTTTCAGCGTTTTATAGGGAGAATCCCAAATGCTCAAAAATAACCCGTAGGAGAATCTATTGTTGTGAAAAGATGGTTCGTTCAACGGCAACAAAAGTCTCTCAATGGGCTCGATATTTGTTTGGAGATGTGCAATTAAATGGAGAAAAAGAACGATTTTTTTTTCTTCCCCCGTGACTTTTTTTTTCAATTAAAAAAAAAAGCGAAAATAAACTGATGGCAGCTGATTTTCTACAGTAACGGTGTCGTTTTCTTCGATGCAAATTTTTCTTCATTGTGTTTGGTTTTTTTGGGGGGGACCGAGAATCCTAATTGTACAATTTTCACAAGGACTTTCACAAATCTTCTCTCTGGGTTCCGGGCTTTTATTTTCCCACTCCCCAATCTCCTTCCTGCCAAAAATAAAATCGCGAATTCAGGATGCAAACCGAGACATTTTCTTCCTGTTTTATCACGTGAATTTTATCCCCTCCCGCCTTCCCCCAACATTTGTCTCTTTTGGGGTGGGGGGTGGAAAAAATTGCATTTACAGGATTGAGAAGAGATCTGATGTTTCATTTTTCTGGAATTTCCTGTACAACACTCCTAAGTCCATGGCTTAGGAATTTACGCGACATGTTAAATTGTCAGGATTCCTTTTTCCTTAACAGTCCGGATGCAATTGAGTGATTTTTGCTTAAAAATAGGAAGACTTGGTATCTCTTTCGATACAATCGGAGGCCTGATGCATACGGTGTAAACCGCAGACTTCGACGAAATAACAAGGCGAGGCGATCGTATTAGGTCTTGGGGCAGCTGGTGGCAAATGAAAACTTTGCTGCCATTCTTTTCTGCTGCAGGGGTCTCAGATTTACTGCCAATCCCAGCCAGAGTGGAAAAGGCTTCTTTATTTTTAATATATATATATTTGAAAGAAATGTCTTCACTGCGCACAAACTACGCTGGTTCTTTTTTCCAGCATTATATCAATGGTGTGGTTTTAACTGTGGCCGGGTTTTTTTGTGTAAAAAAAAGAGAGAGAGGAAACAAAGAAGAAAAGCCCCTTTTCCTTGGTACTTGAGCAATCGTAATTTCTGTTGTTTGAATGGAATTTTTCTTTTTTTTTGTAATGATGAAAAAGTAACGAACCCCCAGTTTGTGGTTCAAACGTTCGAGGGGGGGAATAAAAAAAGGTACTTTATGGAGATAAGAAAAAAGACTGAAGTGAAAAAAAATATTGGAGGCGCTGCAGAGAATTCTGTGAGACCTTAAGGAGGCGTTTCTATTAAACATTCAGAAGTGCAGAAACTTATTTTTAAAATGGGTACTTTGTACTTTTTAACCCTTTATTCTGAGAGAATAAGAGAGAGACTGATTTTTTTTGTTACAAATACTAAGGCTGGGCACTTTAGTCCAATTGGAACCCTTGTGTGTATCACGCTGAGTGAAAGGTTTTAGACATAAGATCTTGTTCAGTCTTTTACGAGAAGCTGATTTTTCCAAGAAGATTATTTCCTTACCTTAGCCCAGGGCGATGCCCTCGGATGCCATCCTCGTCTGTATGGTTTTCCTCTCATCGTGACCTGCCTGCAAAACCTGCCTGCAAACATGTTTTTTCTCTAATCAACATTTACAGTTGTGTTAAGGATACTTTTGGTTTAATAGTCTGCTAGTGAGTGAGTGAGCGAGAGCTGTTCCCAGCTGGCATCATGCCCTCTGTCTGCAAGAACTATTCACCTCTCTCTTGTCCGGCAATCAACTGAGGGGAGCACTACCTGCACTGAGTGCTGTTGTGTCTCACAGACCACAGGTGTTGGCTACCCCTGCCATCCAGTGAGAACCATCAACCCAAGCCCGTGCAGCAACAACAACAACAAATTACACTTGTAAAGCGCCTTTCACGTTGGGAGGACGTCCCGAGGCGCTGGACAATCAGGGATTTGCCAGTCAAACGCCGGAGGCAGGAATGCTGAGAGTGAAGTTGTAATCAAGAGGGGAGGGCGTGAGTTAACTCCACCCCCAAATTAAATACAACTTTATTTCATAAATTGACCCAATGTTTGCAAAATACAATACCGCAAGACTGGCACCCTTTGTTGTGTGGATGTAGTGGCATGTTTATATTGGGATACACCAGAGAGAGCTCAACGAAGTTTCAATCTACCATATCTATTCTTGGGTTACCTGCTATCTTTCCTCTCTTGTCTCCACCTTTCCCTCTTCCCCACAACCTTACCGAGATCTCAAAATATCAATGACCTATTTGACCTGGGAAGGGCAGACCAGTCAGTTGGCCTTCGTTTTTTGTTCCTGTGCGGCTTCAGCTGAAGAAATGATGAACCTCAGGCTAATGTTACGGGTGGAAGGGGTGGGGGTTGGGATTGGTGCATCTTGTTGCAATTAATCTTGACACCTCACTGCGTTTTGGCAATTCTTATTGAAAGAACAAATTTTGTCTTACCAGAAGAAGGACCTGAAGTCTAAAGTCCCTGTTGCAAAGACTTTTTGAATGTGTTTCTAAACAAAACGTGTAAAGAAAAATATTCTAAGCTGATGTGAAGTGTCCCAGTGAGTCAACCCCGACTGAGATTAAAGTTGTGACTTGCTGAAATTTGCTCTTTGGTAGTAATCACTTTGTGCATCTCCCTGTCCTGACCCTCTCCTCGAAACGGCATTTAATCATCCTCCAAAGTCACCACCTTCCAGCGCCCTTCAATAAAAGAGGATACTGGTTGGATTTTCAAGCCTAAATTTGACTTCTTTTCAGGGAAGAAGTGCATTTGTTAACAGAACGGCCTTCGCACAATCGAAGCGCCCACATTGAGAAGCTTTCCTTACCAGTGTCGCTAGTCAGTCCATCGGGAGGTGAGCTAAATATTGGAAGAGTTTCCTTGTACCGTTATTGTGGGCTGTGAATCCTTGTACTGTGGATCACGTTGCATGTTCTTTAATCTTGCCAATAGGTTTCAAGAACGAGCTGGGGGAGCGGGTGCCTGGGACGAGTGGGTTAGCATAGCGAGCTAATTTTTATTTGACCAGGTTTTAAATGAAAGTCTCCTCTTGCTAGAACGGGCCCGAAGTGAAATGGGTTTTGGTGGTCCCAGTTTAGAAGCTCACCTCACAGGAATGTCCCATTGTTTAATGTTTAATGGCACTAAATTGGCAATCTTGATGGGACACTTCATAGAGATGTGGGAGGTGGGAAAACTCACTGTGGTGACATAGGAAATCTTCTCCTGAGTATTGGGGCTAAAGCACTTTGGGGGAGAAATTCCAACTGGGTCCAGATTTGCTCTCAATTAACGTAGGCATTTTAGAGCATCCGGAATTTGTTATACTTAAATACAGTCTTGGTTTTGAAGCTGATTTTCTGCAGGATCTTTTAAAAGGTTAACAAAAAAATGTTTTAAAGTTGAAAATAAACCAGGTTTTGAGATGTCTCGAAGACTTGATAAGGCAATATATCAAATGCAAGGATTATTATTATTATTCAAATGCTATGATGATAGATACATTTAGACCATGGTGGAATTTTTCCCTGTTCATATCTGACCCACACTGTATTTCATCGGAGTAGTTAATGCTGCCATTTAGTCACCATTGTTGACA